CAGCTTTAGTGTATATTAATAAATAATATTTTCTTGCCTTTAGCTGTGTATTTTTCTAATTTCGAAAAATCGAAAGTAGAGAAAAATTTTAAAAATAAAATAAAAAGTAAAATAGAAAATTGTTTTTGCTTGTCGTAAAGGGAACCAAGCTCCTCCCACAGCCCACCTGATGAAGGGTAGGCCCAGAAACCGGTTGTGTGGAGCTTGGGCCCCTTGATTGACTGACAAAACAATTTTCTTTTACTTTTTATTTTTTTTTAAATTTTTCTACTTTCTTTTCGATTTTCGAAATTAGAAAAAATACAATACACAGCTAAAGGCAAGAAAATATTATTTAATATTTTTAAATATTATTTAATATATATATATATATATATATATATATATTAGGGAACATTCCAAAAACTTAATTTGTTCCAAAATGTGTAATATACTATATATAATTCAGCTTTAGCCATTTCGAATTTTGAATCTTAAAGAACAAATTCCTCATAAATAAAAAAAAACAAAAAGATATAGCTATACAAAAACTTATTATATTAAAAAAAACGGTCGTTTATGTACACACCATAGATAAATGCAACAAAATATTCTTTAGTTTATAACATATAGAATAACACAAAATACAGTTTATATACAGGGTTGCCAGAATGCGTATGAAAAATTTAATATGAATATTTTTGTTAAAAACAAAGTAAAAAAAACAAATTAGTAGAAATAGTACCAGATAATTAACAAAGACAAAAATTTCACCTTACTTATTACAGTTATCACACAATTAAAAAAGACAAATTCTAAATATCACCTTATACATATACGCACTATATAAATTGCCTATGTTCTTAAAGAAATAAAGAAAAAAGGTCATATTTATCAAAAGAAAATATTATGTAGCATACATAAATATCTAACATACATAATGAAATAAAGTCAATCAAGGATATACTTTAGAGCTTATGTAACAATAAATATTATTACAATATTGAAATTAAGGTAAAAAAATTGTGTGTTCATTGTTAAAGTAAAAAAAGTATTTCCAATTATTCTCATGCTGGAAGTACACATTCGCCGAGGCGACCCGAGACGTGACAAAAAAGGACGGTCCTAACCAATAACAATGTACAAATCGTTAATTTTTTGTGGCGCCGCGGGTCCCCTCGGCGAGTGTGTACTTCCAGCATCAGAGTTTCTAGTCTATTAAGCATTAAAAAAATCCATACGTATAAAAGGGTCTTATTATATCTATAGTTGTCAAAGTTTATAGAAATAACTTTTGACATTGCTTTATTGATCTCTGTTTAAAACTAACCAGGTTGGGTCCATTTACGCTCTGCAGACCTCATAATACCTATATTTCAGAAAAAAATAACTACATATATCTCTGTATAGTTCATAAATAGCACCTATTTGCTTATTGTACCTAACATATATATGTATTTATTCATACAAAACAATACAAACATGTAACCAAAACTTATTGTCCATTTCGTTACTGTTAGCATAATTTTTATGTCAAGGAGACGAGCAAAAAAATATACTAAAAATAACGAAATAAAAACCTGGTCACACCCAGACATATTAATTAAAATTGCATCAATTTCGTCAAAAAATTGTACTTATACAATTTTTTCCTCCTTCTTTCCTCCTCCCAACATCCTCAGGCACAGCTATAGAATTTATGGTTCTTATCTGTACATCTGCAACTCTGGTGCAAAATATTGCATTTAGGTGGTTGAAAATGCGCATATACAAAAGATTCCACCCGTCCCGAAAAACATCAAGTGTCTCATTTGAGAGTTTTACTCCCAATCTTTTTTAGAAAATATACTAACATTAATGGAGTAGATAATTAATGTTTTTCATAGATACAGAGAAGAATTAAAATACATTTTTACATCAAAGTTGTATTTTTTTAAACAGAATGCTGTATTTATAAAGGGTATTCCAATAAGAGGTTTCGTTGATATCGAATAAAATAAAAATTTCATAACATACCTTTATTTAAGTTATTTTTGGCAGTGTACATAACACAATATCTGCCAAATGGCTACACGACTTCTCTGGTAGCACACAATTCTTTTGTTAAATTTTCCATTACTGATGAACACATTTCTGGAGTTATGTCACGAATAAACGAATTATTCGCCTAATTTCTTCTTTCAATTGTTGAATGATTTGCCAGGAAATCCCGATGCATACTCAACGTGTTACAGTTTGGTGCGGTTTTTGGGCTGAGGGTATCATTGGGCCGTATTTTTTGAAGATGAAAACGAACAAGCGTTACAGTACAAGTACAGGGTGTCCCATTTTGGTTGAAATCATAGGGTATCTCCGTTATTAATGAAGATAGAAGGGTGTGGTTTGCACAAACCTGTCCCACTTTTTCGTGAAACGGAAAATGCTGCAAACAAAATTTTCATAGCCCTCTTAGTTTCTGAGCTACAGGGTCTTTTCGAAAATGTTGCAATTTGGGTCACCCCCTGTATCTCTGTTATTATTAAAGGTATCGAGAAGGCGAAAACTGTTTATTGTAGAACTTTTTACGTGGAATACAGTGGCGTAGTCTGTTTTTCTACCAAAAAAATATTTTTGAAAATATGAACTAAAGTTATGTTTTTTCAAATGGAACACCCTATATATTTATAAATCATGATCTGTCTTGCTATGAGCTTCTCAAAAATATATATCACTCTATATTTATTTTCACTATTTACTGCAATATTTAAAATATATCATTTTCTTATTAGTTGGCCGTGATAAATAAAAAATCAAAATGATATTTACTAAAATAGTCATACACATATTAAAATTTATTTGGGATTGATATATTTTACTTTTGAAATAACTGTTACTACTGAACCTATGAATATATTTTTCTTTTTTTTATAACGGAATGGGTTTGCAAATATCTAAAAGCTTGAATTATTAAAGCATTTTTCAGGTGTTCAACATTGTTGTAGTGCCCACGATATATTTCGTATTTCAAAAATCCTCAAAATCAGAAATCGAGAACGGCAAAATCCGGGAATCGAGGAGGCTATAAATATGTGTTCATTGGTTCCAATTCATTGATTTGAAAAATAATAATTTAACAGTATTCTAATATTTTCATGAGTTATGTTCCCCATCTTGCTGAAAGTATATTTCACGTAAATTAGCTAAAGGAATATCTAAAATTTCCGATACGATAGATTATTCGTACGTATACACGTATTCCAAGATTTACAAATAGCGCTAGGGAGTTAAGTTTCCCTAATATATAAAGAATTTATTAGCGGTTCCCAAAATAAAACAAGAGACAGATAGCAGTATACTTTTAATAATTCTTTAGTTTCTTTTATTATCAATCATGGCCTACTAATAAATATGATCTTTTAATAAAAACTTTTAAATATTGCAGTAAATAGTGAAAATAAATATAGAGTGATGTATATTTCTGAGAAGCTTATGGCAAGACACATCATATGATTTATAAATATACAGGGTGTTCCATTTAAAAAACATAACTTTAGTTCATATTTTTAAAAATATTTTTTTTGGTAGAAAACCAGACTACGCCACTGTACTCTACGTAAAAAGTTCTACAATAAACAGTTTTCACCTTCTCGATACCTTTAACCATAACAGAGATACGGGGGGTGTTTCAAATTGCAAAACTTTCAAAAAGACCCTGTAGCTCGGAAACGAAGAGGGCTATGAAAATTTTGTTTACGGCATCTTCCGTTTGACAAAAAAGTGAGACAGGTTTGTGCAAACCGCACCCTTCTATCTTCACTAATAACAGAGATACCGTATGATTTCAACCAAAATGGGACATCCTGTACAGGGGGTGCCCCAAATTGCAAAATTTTCAAAAAGACCCTGTAGCTCAGAAACAAAGAGGGCTATGAAAATTTTGTTTACAGCATCTTTGGTTTGACAAAAAATGGCACAGGTACCGAACGATGATATATGTTTTTCTTATGGTATCAAGTAATGGACATGGATATAGAGAATATTATGTGGTTCCAACAAGATGGTGCAACATGTCAGATGAAACATTGAATTTATTACGTACAAAGTTTAGAGGGAGGCTTATCTCCAGGAATGGGGACGTAAATTGACCACCAAGGCCATGCGACTTGACGCCGCTAGATTATTTTTGTGGAGCTATGTGAAAAGCAAAGCTTACGAAAACAATCCGCAAACTATTCAAAAATTGAAAAAAGGATTTAGGCAAATAATTAGTGACATTAGTCCGGAAATGTACTCAGCAGGAATGGAAAATTTTAACAAAAGAATTGTGTGCTGCCAGAGAAGTTGTGGTGGCCATTTGGCAGATATTGTGTTCCACGTATAATAATTGTACACTGTCCAGCTACGCATTGCCATAAATAATTTTTAATTTTGTTATAAAACGAAAATAGCTAACACTAGCTAATACCAAGTAACAGTGTATAATGCTCCATTATTATTTTTATATCACATTTATATATTATTGCATTGTGGAAGGTCTATCCTTGATATCAGGTTTTCAAGCAGATATTAAGTATAAATACAAAATTCTTCAGATTAATAGTACATAATAATCGTACCAAAACTAATTTATAAGATTTAGTCGATCTTAGAGTACCAACGGGGGTAGTTATACCGTCAGTTACAAAAATATATCTACTAATTTAATAAAGATAGAAATATAACAGAACAGTTAAATTAAAAGATAATATTTTGTTACTATCACTATGAACAAACACATAATACAAACTTTCATTTAAGAAACTTTCTGAACCAAAAAAATAGCAATTAAATGCAAAAAATTTTATATTTATCAGGGATTATGATTTTCAATATCGTTCAAAAAACTGATGAGTGCTTTATTTATATTGGTTGAATTTTGTATATCTTGTATACAAAAAGAACCAAAAACGAAAAGTTTTAACAAAGTTTAAACAAACTGTCAATTTCATACATGAAATATATACAATTCATTTGTATATATTTGAAATATATACAAATGTATACAAAAAGAACCAAAAACGAAAAGTTTTAACAAAGTTTAAACAAACTGTCAATTTCATACATGAAACCACCACTAACTTCCAATTCAATATAAAAGAATATATAGCTAACAGGTAGCTAACCAACTTTTTTTAATCAATGAAAATAATATTGAATGTACTAGAATTGACGTTTTTTTATAAAGGAACCAAAAAATTCAACTATTTCCGTTCTACTAGTAGCAAATTTAATGAAACCTTTTATCAAGAATAAACAATCCTGAGACAATGTTTTCTCTATACTATACAAAGTGAGTCTGAAATAAGTGCATATATTTATTATGGGTAGCAGGAACATGTCTATGATTTTTTTCAAGAAAAAAACCTTAAAAATTTTATATATTTTTTTTATAATTTTCTGTTAAAACACATTTTGAATTATCAAGATTTGAGAAACACTGGGATTCTCAAAATTTAAGCAAAATATATATATTTTTAAATTTCCAAAAATAAAAAACATCTATTAGACTTGGAAAAACAGTAAAGGGAAAATATGTTTTTTATGTGCACTTATTTAAAACTAACCCTTTATAAGTATATACACACTAAATTATTTGGTAAACAGTAAATCTTGCTATCTCTGCTAGAAATCACTACATGATGTACAGTTCGATTTACAAAAGATGACGATTGCATCATACTGAATGTTCTTAATGAACAAAGTTAATATATGACGGTAATAAACTTATTAATACTTCCCGTTATGATGGAACAAGTAAAATGGTCGCAACTGAAGACAGAACCTTCCAACCGCCTCGTGCTTGCGATTTAAGGTTTCGCCGATCCATGAGCCTGAGCGTAGGTTGTCCTGGCCTTTTCTTTAATTACGACCATTCTACCCGTATCGTTCGTTGGCAGCAAATCCTATTCAGAACTACCTTCGCTTACCTTGTAACGCAAGTTGTAACAAAACTATCGAGACTTGTGCATTGAGTGCCAGCATGGGTATGAGAATAGGGCCCAAATTCTGTAACTTAGAAAACGCTAAGCACTTTTAGACGTTTAGCACATATGACGTAAAATTTCGCTTAGCTCGCACTTGACTACCGATTTGGGTATTAATGTATAATTAACTTTAATGAGCTTAGCGTCTTTCTCTAGCGATTCGAAAACGGCTACCTTAAGAGCGCTTGCATACCCACCGGCAAAATCGGTACCGGAGCCGGCGCCGGTTTTGCACACATTCCGACAGTTGTATTTAATTCTATTGTATTTGCCGGCCGGCCCACGACTATTTTACCGGTGTGTGTGTGTGTGTGTGAAAGCACTCTAAAAGATCATCGAATTAACATTTATTTATTTATTTATTTAACTTAAAAATAGATGCAGCTGTCAGTAAAAATAGAAAAAATTGTGATTTTGTGCGTTCTCTTGCTTGTTAGTGAAAAATACTTGTATAAATTCTGCAATAAGTAATTGAGGGGCTTAAATTTACGACTTGTCAGCTATAAATATTGTTCAATACATCGAAAATACTGGGAAGCGTCTTCAATATTTCCCTTGTATGATAAGAATAATGACATATCCATAGAAAAATAGGTTGACATAACTCAACAATAATTAATATAACAATAACAATTTTCAACGTTTTATCCACATTTGACTATTAAATACCTGAGAAATTGCGATGTTGTCAATATGTGCTAAACGCGTATCCAGAAAACGATTCCCACTGCAAGGAAAATTCCAAAATGTACTGTTTAGCGTTCCGCTGAACGACTACTTTCGCTTGCCAGTTTGGAAACAACTCTTAAGAATCCAATAGTTCCATCATGTTTCAAACATATCGGTCCTTGAAAAGTCCTAACTGCGAGAGTTTTGAAGTCATGATTACAAAATCCCGCTTAAGATGGGCTGGTCACGATCGCAGAATGCAAGAGAACCGCATACCAAAATTGCTGCTTTACGGTGAGCTTGTAAACGGTAAGACGAGGCCGCGTGGACAACTTAAAAGGTACAAGGATATTTTCCATAAAAACTTTGAGGGGATTAACATGCAGATTGAGTGGGAAGACTCAGCTCACAATAGGACGCAATGGAGAAGAATTGTCAACTCAGCTAACGACAAGCAAACAGTAAAAAGGCAACAAAGCAATGAGATTTTTGAATGTCCGGAGTGCGCTAGACACATAACATCACGTATCGGGCTTTTCAGTCACAGAAAAGTTCATGAAAGAAAACGCTTTGCGTAACCATCTTCTGATGCGTGTCAAATACTTGTCAGTGAGTAATCGTATCGAATAAGCGAGTCAGCGAGTAATCGGCAGTATAGTATATAGTCACTTTGAAAGTGTCGCGTTTTTATGTCGAAGTGGCAAAATTCGGAGCCAGGCGTGAAAGGTAAAACGCGAATACTGAAAAATAAGCGAAGATGACCAGCTGGTAGTGAGAGAATGAGCTGTGGTTAACTCTGAATAAGAACCGACAAGAATTCGTCTCTCTGCTTGAGCCAGGGATTTAGATATTCCCTATCCTAGGACAATAAATTGGAAAGTTGTCTCAGTCTAAAACATTGAAATTCAATAGAATTTGTCATCTTTTTTTTTGGACAACAAATAAAATTCAGTCTACATTAAATTTTAATACTTAGCAGTTATTTCTTTGGACCTCTCTAAGAATATTTTATTATTATCTACAATCAGCGCCTCCTCGTCGCTAGAATCCGAACGATTATCCTTATACATCTGTTCTTTCTCTTGGACGCTCCCATCGTTCCTGTATTTCTCTTTCCATTTTCGAATCTTTTCGCTCGAATTCTTGCTGGCGTCTAAATCGAGGCTCTCTTTGTATTTGCTCGCCCTGCGATACTTTTTGTTCTCTCTCGTTTTCGCCTGTTTTGATTTATTAAGTTGGTCGTCCTCGTTGCTCTTGTTCATTTCCAAATCGAGATCGTGAGCGTTTGCCTGAACGGCCACGTCCATCGAGGTTTTCGACAGTCTCGAGCGGTTCCCCTCAAATCCTCCACTAGCGGCCGAATTTACAGAGCTCTGCACCAGCTGCTTTAATTCGGGACAACTCGAGCTCTCGCTTGGGCCTTTTAGGTGTGGCTCGTTGTAAGAGTCCGAGTCACTGCTGTACTTTACTCTGTAAAATAAAAATATAAAACTAAGGTAAACTGGGCTGGAACTCAATAGCGATACTAGCTGTAACGAAGAACTACTGATACGAAGCTGTAACTAAATAGCGATCGGTAGCAATGAAGAATTCTGACCTTGGCCGTACAAACTAAACGGCAAGCGATAGTATTCTTCATCGCTACCGATCGCTATTTCGTTACAGAGTCCCACCCCTGGGGTCCTTACTCATTAAAAGCTAAGGAAGGAATCAAAAACTATTTTTATATTCACACTTTAAAGACCAAAGTGACACCATTGAAATTGAAACCTCTTCCTTCACAGTTTTGTTTGAATTTTCTCTTGAAAATTATCGTGCTTCTGTGTTAATTTTTAATATTTTTTTTGTTCTATGATAAGTTTTATGCAAAGTATATAAATTCAAAAAGATACTGTAATATGCATTGTATCAAGACTTTAGTTACAGTGAGGTGTGAGGTTATTGTGAATCTTAGAAGAGGCTTTAAAAATAGTTAATTGTGCAAAATGCAAACGTTCGAAAAATAAGGCAACTTTTCATTAGTAGGTAATTATATAAACTGTTATGAATACTAAACCTTTATGAAATTCGTTTAGAGCCAACAATGTTTTTAATTCCTGCTTTTTGGATCTATTACTATTTGTCATAGAATATGATAATAATAAAATGTCTTTATTTTAATAGGTTTGTACCAACCAGCACTTCGGGATCGTTTTGAAATCGTACTCGAATCGGTTTTCGTGCACTTTGTTAGCATGCGCGGACTTCGAATAGTTTCGTGACGGTGCAAAAAGTATCAACGTTGGAACGCTTTGTGGATTGTTTTCGGGACTGTCAAAAGTGTATCGATCGGTTTTTTGTTTTTGTTTAGAATTTCGTAACATAACCCTATTATTTTGGTTTGAAATAAGCAATAATAATAATTATTATTCTTGAAATGGAGAATCAGAATCCAATAATTGTTGGTAAGTGTTGTTTCAACTGTATACTCACTAACTCACTTACCTTTCCTCTCTTTTATGATCCTGTTATGCGTAGTTTCCTGTTATTTCATTGGAGTGGTAGAATCTTTGGACATTATTTTATAAATAAAAAATTAATTAAAATTTCGAAAACGATTTACGAAATTACCGTTCTGAAATCGTAACTAAACGATCCCAAGGTCGGTTGGTACACAAATAGGATCGTCCGATAACCGTCAAATTTCGGTTGGAACACATATGAATTACTGCGCACGAGCGTGATCGTTCGGTGACGGTTCTGCGGCGGGTTGGAACAGACCTAATAATCCTCGGCGTCAGTCTATTGTAATATCTATCTTATAAAAATGATGTCAGTCTATTCAGAGTGTCATTTTCGATCCAGTAAAATAAAAATATAACGAGGGTGCCGTTTAAAAATCAAAAGTTGTAGTCATTTCCGGTGAAACAAGAAGTGACGGAAAACAATTGAATACGTCAATCAATCCTAATTTATTTCATATACTAACATACCAAATCTCGTTTTTTTATCTGAAAAAATAAAAAAGTTATAGGGGGTGAGCCACTTTTGAGACGCACCCAGTATATGAAATGGCGTTAGCAGATTTAGGAAAGGTTCAGGACCAGGAAATAAAAACCCTTTATTTAAACAATTACCGACACTTCCACGTATATTCTCGTCTTTCCAAGGCTGTTTCTCTTTTGTCAAGCGTAAACATTAGTAATCTTATCCTGATAGTATAGGCTTGGTGCATTTCAAAAGAAGATCGGCCGTCGATGGAGTTGGAAAATATTTATACTAAAATCTATGTAGGGGTGGGGGTAGTTTTCACCCTTCCCGTACTTTTTCTTGATTTTTGTGAAAATCAAATGCTAAAGCACTTTTTGAAGCCCTCTAACGGACAAACGAAGCACTTTTGTACAGGGCTAAATTATGTCCAGTGAACTTATTTTGATTCCAAAAATACGTAGTAGTTCTATGTCCACGGAATATTGGGACCCCTGTATATGCCCAGTTGACAGAGACAAAACAAAAAGCGGCATACAATGTTGCCAGTTCGTACGTGAAATAGCATAATAAATGAGAATATATGGAAGCTATTTAATAATTCCCTTTTCCCCTTTTTAAAGATGGACACTGGGAAAGGGAAATCGTAACGACCCCGCTTGTTATAGAGGCCTAAGCATTAACAGTTCGGTCAGCAGACTTTTTGGAAAGGTGCTACAGGGTAGGCTCATGGACAGTATCTCGGAAGACCAAAACGGATTCACACCGGGGAAATCTTGCACAGATAACCTTTTTGTCCTGCAGCAGGTGATGAAAAAAAAAACAGTAGATCAAGAAGTCCATCTAGCATTTATTGATTTGGAGAAAGCGTACGACTCTATTCCCCGCAGAAAGATATGGGAAGTCTTGAATATCTTAGAAGTAGATAGACCTTTTGCTTAAGATAATAAAAGAGCTATATAAAGAAAATGAATCGTACGTTAAAATAGGACACAGGCTATCTAATCCAATTAACACCACAAAAGAGTTACGACAAGGATGCAGCTTATTTCCTCTGATCTTCAACGCTTACGTCGAAGTAGCCCTTAGGGAATGGAAGACGAAATGTCAAGGTATGGGAATACCCACTGGGGACAACACACTATTTACCCTGAGCTTTGCAGACGATCAGGTCGTGATTGCGCAGGACTTATACGATCTAGAGTTCATGACTAAGAGGCTTTATCAAGAATACAACAAATGGGGACTTCAGGTTAGTCTAAAGAAGACCGAATACTTAGCTGTCAATACCAACGCTTGTTTTGAAGTCTTCATTAATGATAACGTCCAGATTCAACAAGTAGACAAATTTAAATACCGAGGGTTTGGGCAAAATACGACGGTTTGGGCAAAGTAGAAATACAAACCCGAATTCAGAAGAGCAAACAAGTTATTGGATGTCTTAACAGCCTCTGGTGGGACCGAAACTTGTCTGCAACAACTAAAAAGAGACTTGGAAGAACATTGGTGGAGTCAGTTCTTTGCTATGGTTCAGAGCTATGGACTCTGAGTGCAGACGTGAAGCGCAAAATCCAAGTTGTTGAAATGGACTACCTTAGAAGAAGTGCAGGTATATCTAGGATGGAAAAAAGACAAACATCGAGGTCAGGCGTATCATGAATGCATCGAAGGAAACAGTACTAGATCGAATCGAAAAATCCAGCTTAAAATGGTTTGGACATGTTCTGCGTATGCCGGAGAACAGGTGGCCAAAAAGAGTTTTTCAATGGGCTCCCCAAGGCAGAATAAAGAGAGGTAGACCTAGAAAATCCTGGAACGGAACGGTTACGGAAGCAATGGAAGCTCGTAACCTAGAAGCTGATGACGCTCTAAATCGAGATGTGTGGCGTAGGGTAACGGGAAGGCAGCAATAGGCTGTACTTGGAAATGAGTATTAAATACTTAAACCAAATCCCGTTTATATATATATTTAATAATGCTCATTTCTGTTAGACAGTTGCTTGATAACATGGTATAAAATATCTGCGGTCACTCTTTACAAATAACCATAGAAATAAATATTCATTGGTTTGTTCAGAAATACTGCTAGTAATCGTATTTTAAGGTGTAAAGCATGGTCCTGAAACAATGCAGTGTCACGGGCTACCCGCCATAGAACGAATAAATTCAAACAGCTGTCAATTTTGATTTTAATTACTAAACTACGGTACTAAACTATGACTTTGGAGTTTGTTTTAGTAGTTTCGCCAACGACACAACGTAATTCTGAGACCGAAACTTAATAAGAACCTATTACAACTGTAGTAAAATGTGTAACAATTGTGGAAATTAAAGATCCAACAGATGTAACATTTTTCATAAACGCTTATTTGGACCGTTTGACACCAAATCCGGCATTACCGCATAGAAGAAATGTATCAACCCAAATGTTTTTCTCTTTTTAATATATTTTATTTTTCATTAGGCTGTCTCGTCATCACCGTCTTACACGTTAAAATCCAGACCACGCTTCTACGATAACCAAATCTGTATGTATAATAACAATTTTAGTATCATTAAAATTTGTTATAACAATAAGACCATGTTAACTTAAAAATTATAAATAATTAATATATCTTTGATTAATTCACCCCAAGTGATTTACATTTTATATTTTTTCGAACGCTGATAATCAAAAATATTCACATAAATTTTGCAAATGCGAATATCCATTATATCACTAACGGTCTACATGCGAATCTTCATAAACACCACAATAGCAAAAAATATATATTTTTATATTACTTTTTATAAAAGTAAAACCTCTGACGGGGTAGGGGACAAAAAAAAGGTTTACTCAGATATTCAGAGGTTTTACTTTGATATGTACTCACACTGGGTTGGGGAACTTTTAGTTTTATTACTTTTTATGCACCCTGTGCAATAATTTCGTGTGTAAATTTTCCTAAAATATAATTTTACGGCCAGAACCATGACTCCTGAGGATTTTGTTTTTGATTCATGTCAATGCATGCTTTGCCTAATTTTTAAGAGCGAAATGAACTGATCACGATCAATTTGCAATTTTTTCAATTATCATTACATTTTGATGTATTTTTTTAATATGACGAGCTGGTTTAGGTCACTATTGTTGTAACGTCGTATTACGACAGATTATACAGATTATAATCTTTGTTTTTTCTTTATTGTTTTTCGTGGTTCCAATTTTCGGAATCGGGCACTAGCTAGGTGACTAGTTTGCGCACATAGCACGCCCACTTATGGCCTCTAAAATTGTGCACAGCGCCTGACCGGCACAGTTATTAGAGAGATATCGGAAAACCGAATAGCGTCATCCAGTATTTACGCGTACCTTATCATGGTTACGATATGCGCGAGTCAATTTTTAACGCAACACCCGCTAATAACGTTACCGCCTGACGTAATTTGCGGATCAATTACACCAAGCGCTCTTTCTAAATAACCTCTGATAACGTTTAAAAATTGCTTAAATGGGCATGTGC